TTTTGAGACAGGGTCTCACTGTGTAGTTGAGACTGACCTGGAACTCACTATGTAGCTCAGGCTGGTCTCAAACTCACAGCTATCCCCTTGCCTCAGCCTCCCGAGTGCTGGGATTACAGTGTCCAATTATTTAACAGAATCCACCAGAAAGACCTTAAGAAACAAAAAGCTGAAATAGGTAATAAAAGAAGCAATAGGTTATCAGATCCAAATCTACCATACCACTAGTCACACTGCTTTCGGCCAATTCCTTAGGCAACAACCTCAGTTTTTTAAATGTTGCTACAGGAAAAACCCACAATTTCCTTCCCCCCCCCAAAAAAAAACATGAGAAATATTTGCATTTACTTTCCCCTGCCTTTTTTTTTAACTTAAGTTTTAAAAATGGTTTATTGTTCACCTTCATCCATGGACATAAAGGAACCTTAAAAGATTTGGGTGATCAACAGCACTTACTAATTCTAAAGGTACATTATCCAACACAGAAATTTAATGGTCACAAAGATTTTTATGATATTCTGTCTCCAAAAAAGGCAGAATAAGATCTCGTGTTCATTCTCATTGTCTCCCCCTCCATCCCTTTCTCTCTCATGTTGTAAAATAATTGCCACATAAATCCGCTACCAACACCAACCACAATAACCACATTTACTCCCTGGGTTAATTAACACTTAGCAGGTGCAACAGTAACTACAGTCTTCCTGACCCCCTAAAACCGAAAGGGCTCCTTTCGCACTTCATTTGTCACTTGAGGGAAGCCAATAGTACAAGAAAGGCACGAACTTTCTCCTAAGTGTCAGGGACCGCTGGCTTCCCAGAATGGGGCGAGCAGGATTCCCGGGCCTAGCCTCGCCCGGCGGCGGAGGGGCGGTGAGCACCGGCTGCCACGGTGGACAGAACCCCCTCCCCAGCGGGGTCCTCCCTCGCCCCTGACCCGCCAGGACCCGGGGGGACCAGCCCAGTCTCGCTCCCGTATCTGTCCTATCCTGCTCTCGCCCAGACTCCGAAGAAAGCCTGGTTGTCCCGCAGGGAGTGCAGTGGAGGAGCGGACCCCGAGCCTCAGGCTGGAGCAGGGAGCCCCCTTCCACCCGCGGGGCCCACTGAGTCCCCGCCACGCTCACCTCCCTGGCAAGCACGAGACGACCCACGGTGCCTCGGCTCAGCACCCGCCCTAGCCTCCCGCCGTACCCATCCGCACCCACCTCTAGGCCACCGGCCTCACCTGGTGGGGTCTCGACACGCAAGGCTCCGCCTGCTGGATGCCTACAGCGACCAGATCTGTCTTCTCAGCCTGCTGCCCAAGGCTTTGCCTGGGCCCTCCGCCCACTGAGCGCGCCTCCGCCTCCTCGCTGCCATGGCGACAGCCCCCGCCTCCCCGCCGCCGCTGTTTGGTCAGTCTCGGAATCGCGGAGGGCGCCGATTGGTCGGGCTGGGTACAAAGTCGCGCGGGCGCGGCTGAAGGCGGGCGATGCGGGGAGCCTAAGAGCTGGAGCCAAGGGGAGGCTTAGCCAAGAGGGACGTGGCGCTCTGGTACGTGGGTTAGTAAGCCGCGCCTCTTCCTTCCCTAACTTTACTGGAGAAGCCAGTGGAACAGGACTTGGGCGGTGAGGTGTCGTCTGGGGACCCGGTCAGAACCCCAGGGACGGCCTTGGCTGCCCCAAGGGTCGGATAGGTCTGTCAGGCTGTTTCTCACCCACAGGCCTCAGAAGGGGTCCTGGTATTTGTAATCTTACTCATCTCTTTTATGCCGGGCCCTGAATCCTTATGGCTCGACTGCAGTATCCCACCTTATCTAACGCCCGTCTACAAATATGTTCTACACCCCCATCTCCATTGAACTGAGATAATCTCCAAACTCCTTATTTCAAAGGTGGGGAAGGAAACAGGCTCAAAGAGGTTCGTGGCTGGAGGATTAGAGAAGCTTTTGGAGCCAGCCTCCAAACTGGTTTCCAAGCTTGAATTTTTCAGTTAACATTAGCACCTTTCCCAGCCCGTTTTGTCATCTGAAAAAGTTGGTTATTATAAATCGAAGGGTGTTAGTGATTAAATAACAACAAAAGTTAGAACCTGCTGCATAGCATGTTAGTATAGTTGCCTCTGGTCATCCACAGAGGTTTGGCTCCAGGTCACACACATATCCAGGATACCAAAATCCAGGAATGCTTAAACTCCCTGGACGAAGAAGTATAGTGTTTGCATATAACCTATGCACCTCTCATACACTTTACATCATCTCTAGATTACTTATTATATCTAAAATGATATAAATGCTATGTAAATAGTTGTTATACTATATTGTTTAGGGAATAATGACAATTTTTAAAAGTGTGTACATGTTCAGTACAGACATCATGTTTTTCCCTAATATTTTCCATCCACAGTTGGTTGAATCTACAGATATAGATGAAGACTAATGGAAGCTACTGTTATCAAGATGTAATATAGGTTCATGGCTACAGGCACCACTGTGGGGCTAGACTACCTCTCGTGAAACCGTTTGCCCCTAGCACCATTTGAGGCAAGTTATTTAAGTGCTCTGCTTTTTTCCTTGTCTGTAAAATTGTGATAATCAAGTACCTTCGTGCTTACAGAACAGAAAACTAATAGAAAAATAACTGGCACATTGTAGATGTTTCATAAATGTTAATCACTCTCAGGTTGATGTCTAAAGTACAATTGTAACTCAGAGGTCTATGGTTTTTAAGTTATCTTGCCTTAAATACCTCCAATCCACATACTTAGGGTGTCAAGGTTAAGCTCCTTTTTTGAGGTTCCAGAGAAAAGGAACTCTGTCCATTAAAAAATAAAAAAATCAAGATCTCAACCTGTCTATTATGAAAGCCTGAGAATTTTGTGGCTCTGCCACCATTGGCACAAGCAAATGTAAGGAAAATATTCTTCTTCTACTGAGGTAGAATGAAGAGTAAAGTCACTTGAGAAAGAAAGATTATTCAGGAAGTTATGGTGTAGGAACACTAAATTTCAGCTTGAAAAACATGGGAAATATTACCTAGGTATTGGATAGGTATTATCAGTAACTATTGGTAGGATCAGATCAGAAGATGATACCACATTCCAAGGTTGTAAAAAGTATTAGACAATAAATACACTGAAGGCAGGAACTGTCTTGCACATTTTTATTACCTATTCTGGAGCATTAAAACAAATACAAAGTGTCTAAATCAAACACTAAATTTGGTATAGGTCTTTTCGGTATAAATTTGAAAGATCCGTGAGTAATCCAATGAAGATGAACAAAACCTGGCAAATAAAGAGATTGGTTAATTCCAGTTATAGAATGAAAGGAAAAGGATATGAACTTGAACTTAGTGACTAAAATGATAGGATTAGTCTCAGCAAAGGAAACAGGAAAACAAGACTAATAATGATTGAATAACAAGATGCTGTGGGGAAGGAGAGAGTTGAAGAAAGTGTTTCAGAAGGTCATGTGCATATTGAAGCAAAGAATAGCAGTTCTTATATTTAAAAAGATTGTTCTGTCTTAAGCCAGACCTGATGGTAACACCTATAAACTCATATACTGGGGAGGCTGAGGCAAGAGGATCAAAGTTCAAGACTAGCCCGGGCAATTTATTGAGACCCTATCTCCAAAAATAAAAAGGGCTGGGGATGTAGCTCAGTAGTAGGGTGCTTATCTAGCAAGTGTGATACCCTGACTCAATCCCCAGTGCAGAAAAGGGAGGAAGGAGAAAGGAGAGAGAGAGAAAAAAGAAAATAATAAGTACACCCTCAAATTTAGACTTTTAGCACTGATGGAAATCTCTTGATGAGGAGAAGGACTGAAGGACATGGTCACATCATTGTACAAGGGAAAGAACATAGAATTTGGAGTCAGAATTGAGACCCACCCTGGCTCCCATTTATCTCCCGTGTGGTTTTAACTGTTATCTAACTTTAGCCCTGATGCATTATCTGGCAAAGTAGTTGTTCACCAAGTATCAAATGAGTGTAACATGAACAAGGAAGTCAGGGTGCCTGAGTTAAAAGCCTATCTCCACCCATATTAGCTAATTAACCTCTCTCCATAGCACTGCTGTTCCATCTGTAAAATGGAGGTAGTAACAATTCCCATAGCATTGAGATTTTTATTTTTCATCAGAGATTGAACTCACGATGTTGTGCTTGCAAGGCAAGCGGCAGCACCACTGAGCTAAATCTCCAACCCAGCATTGAAATTTTGAAGTTTCCATGAGTCTATATTCTGTTTGTTTGTTTGTTTTGTTTTGCTTTTTGAGACAGGGTCTCCCTATGCAATTCAGGCTAGCCTTGAACTCACCTTGTAGCCCAGGCTGGCCTTGAACTCACTGCAATCTTCCTACCTCAGCCTCCTGAGTGCTAGGATTATAGGTACACATCACCACGCCCAGCTGACTCTATATTTGTAAAGCAGTTAGAGGGTAACTAGAATAAAGTGTTACATTAATGATTTTTAAATATTTCCAGCCAGGTAAGGTGGTGTGCCTGTAATCCCAACACATGGGAGCATGAAGCAAGAGGTGCTCTGAGTTGGAAGCCAGCCTGGGCTATAAGGTATGCCCAAGACCAGTCTGAACTACATAGCAAGGCCTTGTCTCAAAACAAACAAATTTCCATCTGTAACTTGGAGATCATAATACTGGACTTACTGTGAAGATTCAAATGCTGTATATAAAATGCTAGAGAGGAGATGCTTAATAGATTTTAGTTTCCTTCTTTATCATCCTGCCTCCACCTTGTTACCTTGCAAACTCTGACTGATTATTGTTGCTGTTGCCTTTAAAATTCCTAGATTTCCAAGGAATATTTTGATTTCCTTTAGCTCAGTTGAAAAAGTCAAAATGAGTTTGCTAGAGTCCAGGAGGGGAAATAAAAGGAGGGGGAACAAACTGAGGGAGCGAAGAATGTGGTACTTCCAGGGTTTAAAATGGTGCCAGGGAGATTCTGCTTGGTAGGACTTCAGTTTGAACCCATCTCAGTTCCTTTTCTAGAATCCCACAGAACATCAGCTGGCCAATACATTACAAAAGCAAGCTCTTTGTGTTCAGAAGAGGGAAGAAAGAGGAAGAATACTTATTCTCAAAAGACAGTAAGTAGTCAGAAACCAGAAAACTTGACATGGAAACCAAGACTTACAGTTTTATTAAGGTCTAGATCAGAGATCGGCAAACTGTGTCCCAGAGTCCAAACCAACCCACTACCTGTTTTTGTAGTTTTATTGGGACACAGCCATACTCAACAGGTGCACACCTTATGTAATCATTTACATATTCTCTCTGGCTACTTTTGAACTACAATGGCAGGCTTAAGTTGTTACATGTAAGACCATGACCAAACCAAAATTATTTACTTCTTGGCCCTTTACAGAAAAAAAATTAATAGCCCAGAATAATTAGCCCAGAATTTTAAGTATCCTCAGTTCAGAAATTCTTCATTCTCATCGTCTTCTACTATGTTTCTCAGTCTTTAATGCACATACAAATTATTTGAAGGGCTCATTAAAGATCTTGTTACACAAATCCTTAGTTTGTAGGTCTCTGAAAAGCTATTCTGTTTCTGACTACCCCTAGGGCAGTAATGGTGAACCTTTTAGAGACCAAGTACCAAAAATGCAACCCAAAACCCACTTATTTAATTCAGAGTAAATTAACTGCAATTAAACTCCAATTAAAACTGAAATTAAACCTTAATCCTAAGGTTTTAGTTTAGAAAAACAATTCATTCATTAACATCTTTTGTCTTAAAAGAGTACCCCAATCACAGAGTTTTCAATGATACAAACAGCTTTTTACTGAAATGTGCAAGTTTGCATTTGGCATGCTTTGGCACAATTAATAAGATCTTTGCTGTTTTACTCATACTGATAATTTGTCAAATCTTAGCTGGGGTGACTTGGCTTCGTGTGCCAACAGAGACGGCTCTGTGTGCCTGTTGTGGTACACATGCCATAAGTTTGCCACCATTGCTCTAGGGTGTACCAGTAATGCTGATTCCTGGATCAACCTGATCCCCTTGGTTTTTTGTTATCATTGCCCCTGTCACTTTTTCCTTCATTATCTAGCTTAATTTCTTTGATTTATCCATAAAAGTATTCCCACACAATTAACTCCTCTGCCTTTCCCTATTGCTCTTACCTGACAATAACTCAGCTTTGGATGAAACCAACACAAACCAATGCTGTTCTACATTGCAGGAGAAAAATCAATAGACCTTTATTGCTAGTCGTGGTCACCAACTTCAGAAATGCCCTAACCAGTACCCAGAAACCTTCCAGTATGTCTCTATTGTCTTCCCTCTCACATGTCCTCATTGAACTTCCCACACCTCCTCAAACTTGATGTCTTTCTTCCCACTTATTTTCAGCAAGTGACTAAGTTAGATTTGTTGAGAACTTCCATGTTCATTTAAGTTTTAAAGCAGAGTTTTCAATAGCAGTACTGTTCACCACTGGGACCAATAAGTCTTTGTTGTGGGAGATTGTTCTGGGCATTCTAGGATGTTAGCAGCAGCCTTAGGTCCTACTGTAGGTGGCACTAACACCCACCACCAGCTGTGTCAACCAAAAATATGTGTAAATGTGGACAGATGTTCATGGAGGAGTAAAATCTCCCCTAGTTGAGAATCGCTGGTTTAAAATAACAGAAACTAATTTCAGCTAATTTAAAGAAAAAGAGAATTGATTGAGAGGATAAGGCAGTAACTCATATAGTCTCCTTTAGAGCACAGCTGATGTGGCTTTGGGCATAGGATCTGTAACCAGATTGGAGCTAGGAAGATGTGTTTAGCAGAAAAAAGGAGTAACTGCCATGTGTCTAATATTCTGTATTTGTATTCAGCCAGGGTAACATATAACCTGAATCCAGAAGCTTCGATACATTTTATTTATTTTTCTATGATAAAATTAAATCTGGAAGTAGGTAATTGTTGGCTTGGTTTGGCTTCTAGTATCATCATAGCTCTTTCCATTCTTCAGCTCTGAATTTCCTTCCTCGAGTTCAATGCCTTGGGTTGAAAGATGGCTACCATACCCTCTGACATGAACCATGACCACATTTTAAAAATAGAAAACACATTTTAAAAAACAGGGGTTGAGAAGGCAGCAAAAGGACCCTTTATGTGAAAAGTTTCTTTTCCTTTAGTCAACAAAGGAAAAACCTTCATAGAACTCCCATACCCCTGTGTGGGCCCCATAAACAGCCCTTCTAATGCTTAGAAAAAAGTTATATAGCCATTGTCTTTACTACAGGATAGGATAATAAAGTTAGTGTCTGGTACAGTGGTACCTTGATTCGTGAACTTAATTCTTTCCATGATTCTGGTTGCAAAGCAGATTGGTCAAGAACCAAATCAAATTTTCCCACTGAATCTAACCAATGAATTTAATTTTGTTCTTATCCATTTCAGTTTGCAACCAGAATCATGGGAAGAATTAAGTTTGTGAACTGAGGTACTACTATAAAGGGTAATGCAGTGGTCATAATTATACAGAAGTAATTATGATTAATCCCCTGGGGCTGGGCATATTGCTACACCACACCAAATTTTGGGTTGTATTAACAGGGAAGAAGAGGATCTAGCAGTTAGGCAGTAGCACTATGCTTGCCACATCTTCCCAGTATCAAATCTACAAAGCCATATGATTGTGTCATCCATTTCCTCTTTTGTAATGAGAAAAAACAGTGCTCTCAAGAACTTCATTTCTTCTTTTACCTATTCCTTTTCTGTTCCTTTGATCAATTTTTCCCTGACTATAGAATCACTCTCCCGGCATACAAGCATGTTATAGGAATGTCTTCCAACTGGGCGTGTTAACATGAGTATAATCCCAACACTCTGGGAGGCTGAGATAGGAGGATCGCAAGTTCAAGCCCAACCAGAGCAAGTTAGTCACTTAGACCCTATTTTAAAATAAAAAATCAAAAATAGGGAAGGGTAGAGGGGGTGAAGGGAGGGCAGGGGAGTGGGGAAAAGTAAGAACCAAGAGACGTTATGTAAAGGTACAAGATCCCAATGACAGTGTAACTGCATTGTATACCTAAATGTACCAGTAAAAAATTTAAAAACAAAATAAAAAAGGACTAGGGTTGTAGATCAATGTAAAGCACCTAGGTTCCACTCTACTACCAAAATGAATAAATGTCTTCCATCTTTTACAAATCCCTTTCTCATGAATAAAGAAATGTGATAAAACAAGTAGAGCAAATGTAATTATAAAATTTAGTTATTTTGCTGCAAAATTCTTTCAACTTAGTGAAAATAGGAAAAACTGGAAAGAAAGCTTTTTGTACATAGGGGAGGGGGCTTGAGGGGGGAATGGGATAAAGCAAAATTTATTTTTAAAATTTCCTTCAACTCGTTGGTATGCTTAAAACTTTCATAATGTAATATTGGGGATAAAATTCTTTGATCCCCTAAGTCACCCTTCAAATTGTTGATCTTATTGTTTAAATATATTGAAATTTTTCCTTTCTCTACTTTTATTTTTGCTATTATTTTATGCCAGCCTGGCTTCTGACACCACTTTTCTATTTCTAAGACTTCTCTTACTGAAGCTGCTTTTGAATGGATAATTTTCTGTTATCTTATTCAACTGCTTTGTTTGCTGCTGACCACCCTCTCCTTGAAACATTTTTTCCCTTGACAACTGATACTCTCTTTTCATTTTCTCTCCACTTTTCTAACTACTCCTTTTTAGTCTCTTTTGTCAGCTTTGTCTCCATCATCCAGCTTCTAAAAGATGGAAATTTCAAGGATTGATTCTAGCACCTCTTCTCTATCTACAGCCAATTGTTTTCACAGTGATACTCAGTATTTTTTTGTGAGACACTTCTTCATTGGGCAAGATTTTCCATACATTGCAAAATGCTTTGCCCTCCTATATCCTACCCACTAAATGCCAGTAGTTTCTCTCTTTTTTTTTTTTCCTCACTGAGTTTATTGGTACATTTTAGGTATACAGTACAGTTACATTCATTATTGGGATCTTGTACCTTTACGTGACAGGTCTTGGTTCTCATATTTCCCCTTATCCCTGCCAGTAGTTTCTCTCTTTTTTTTTTCCTCACTGAGTTTATTGGTACATTTTAGGTATACAGTACAGTTACATTCATTATTGGGATCTTGTACCTTTACGTGACAGGTCTTGGTTCTCATATTTCCCCTTATCCCTGCCAGTAGTTTCTCCTTTGTACCCACAATCTATGTGACAACCCAAATTGCCTCCAGATAATCCCTCAAGCTGGGGATGTAGCTCAGCAATGCAGCGCCTGCCTGGCAAGCGAGAGGCCCTGAGTTTGTTCCCCGGTACTACTACTACTACTAATAATAATAATAATAAGCAAATAATCCTTAGAGAATAGGTACATCACCAGGTTAAGAGGCATCTTGTCTCTCATTTGGTGATTCTAGCTCATCCATGACCTTAAATACCACACATTTGATCATTATCAAATATTTCTGGTGCAAAAGTACAAATAAAGAAAATGATAAAAGATGGATAGAAAGGGGTATGGGGGTGGATCTTTTGCAATAGGGAAATGGTCCAAGGGAACAAGGGTGAGGGGTGAGGAGGAGGGGAAGGGGAATTGATAGAAATAAAAATGTGCAATATACAGGAAACTAATAACCCCAATTAATGTAAACACTATATGGCATAACATGAGCTAAAACAATATCAACAAGTATAGAAAAGGGGATAAGGGGAGTATGAGAGAGGGGGAGAGGGAAAGGAAAGGGGATTTAAAAAGAAACAAATTGTAATATGTAAGTACATATAACCACTTCCCAAGATGATTGTAAACTGCATGGATTCCAAATGTGTACTAATAAAATTTTTACAAAATGTTTCTGGCCCAAACATATTTTATGAAATTTAAACTGCCTCAAATTATCTACATTTCTATTTGAATAGCCTTTTGTGGCAGCACAGTAAATATTCAGGGAATGAGTAGTCTAACTAACTGTCTTAGACCCCTCTTGTCTGAAACTAAATTCTTGATCTTTTCCTACCAAGGAAAGATATCTATGGAAGGCATGGAGATACACTTCTAGATCCCCTTTCAAGAAAGGACCAGCTCCCCAGCTCTGAGGACTGTGGGTACCTGCTTCAAGGTCCTCCTCAGCCTTAGAGCCAAAATCCCACTCTTGGGGTGTAGCTTAAGCCTTATTGTTCTTGGAAAGTCCTCCAGCCAGTGAATGAGCACAGTGGTAGTGCGTGGATCTAGTCCAGTACAGAACTCCTCTACCTGGCGATTTTTGCTGCAGAGCTCTTCTCCTGGCTGTCAGAGACTGTCAGGGTTGCATTATTATCTTCCAGCTCCCTCTGCAGTCCTGCTTCTGCCTCCTCTCCTTTTACAAGTATTAATTGCCTGGTGAACATTTTGCACACTTCTGTCTCAGCCTCTGCCTCCCAGACAACCTACTGCAATACTCTCTATCATTTTAATGAGTAGTGTGAACTTTGTTGCTCAAGCTGAAACTCTATGAGTCACCTCTGATTCATCTAATCCATCATCTGGGTCTATTGATTCTACTGCCAAAATACCTAATCTGCATCTCTCTGTCACTCTCTCTTCTTCTCCTTCTCCCCTCTTCTCCTTCCTGCTACTCCCTCTCCTTCTCTCTTTATTTTTCTCTTTTCTCCAGTTCAACACATCTTTTTTTTTTTTTGTATCAGGAATCAACCTCAGGACCTTGTGCTTTCCAGGCAGGTGCAGCATCACTGAGCTACATCCTGGGCCCATCACTTCTTAATGGAATACTACTAATGCCTCCAATTAGTATACTATTCCCACTATAGCCTCCTATAATCCATTCTCCACACAGCAGTCAGGATAATCCTTTAAAATATAGCACAATGCTACTTGACAACAATAGCTTCAAATTAAATCTCCTTACTATGTCAAGGCTCTGTCCAGCCTCATTTCTTCCTACCCTCCCTCAATCATTACGCTTTACCCATGTTGGGGTTTTTATTCTGTTTTTGTTTATTTGTTTGTTTGTACCAGGGGTCAAACTCAGGACCTTGCACTTACAAGGCAGAAGCAGTGCCACTGAGCAAAATCCCCAGCCAGATTTTTCTATTCTTTGAAAGCTTTCCCACCTAAGACTTTTGCCCAGGCTGTGCCCACTTCTGTAGATGACAGTTCTCTTACACTTTGCATTCTTGTCATTCAATAAAACTCAAGTGCCACTTTAACCATTTATTCTGAAATTATTTCCCTCTCTTCTCATTATTCTCTGTGCGTGTGTGTGTGTGTGTGTGTACTTTTTTCTTAATTGATTGTTGACTCACTAGACCATAAGCCATAAAGGAATAGACCATATTTGGTTATCACTCAGAACCTAGGAGAATTCCTCACACACTTAGTAGGCAATCAGAAGATAAATATGACTTAAATAAATAAAAGAAAATTACCTGATTATCTGAGATATTCATACTGTTTTTTGTTTACTCTTCATAATGTTTTAGCAAAGGGATTTAATATCATTTCCTTTGGAAAGAGAATTAAATCTACCTGCTGATATTGTAGTGATTAACATAGAAGAAAGATATTAATAACAGTAAATCATATCTATGTCTGTTATAATGACCATAATTTCAAGAGGCCCTCACTTTACAAATTAGATGATCCCTTACTGAAAAAATTTTATGATATGCTAAGAACAGTAATCCCATTCTCTGTTAGCAATCTTACTAACCCCTGAAGAGATTTTTTAAAAGAATGAACAAGAAACAAGATGGTAGGAAGAATCCTCAATTTAGCAAAAGTAAAGTTCAGTCATGCTGTAGTGTGGAACGTTGTCAAGTAAATATTGTATGCTACTGTGTTAGTTTTCATATTGCTAAGACAAAATACCAATGCCCAAATTTTAAAAAAAGGAAAGATTTAGTTAACTCACAGTTTGTAGAGGTTTCAGTCCATAATTGGCTGGCTCCAAGGCATGGCAGAGGGGCATCACAGAGGAGAAACATTTTATGACTGGAAGAAGGTAAAAAGAAGTGAGCAATGGACCTTAGCAGCTTCCTTCTGCCCCTTTTATTCTCTATTTAGGCTACAGGGATTAGGGTGCTGTGAAACCAATCAATGGACCAATTTATAATCACATACTCTTAATCCCAGCATCACCTACTCTAGATTCAGCCACCTCTGAAAAAACCCCACCTATGACCACACGAAGCTGTGGGGGGACATCTAGACACAAACCATAATAGCTGCATGCTAGTGTGTTTACAGGGCCCTTTTGAGTTTGGGGTGCTAGATATTGAACCCAGGACTTTGTGTATGGTAGGCAAGTGCTCTACCATTCAACTATAACCCTGACCATAACAACCATATTCATAATTTTTTGTTTTTTTCCAAAGAAAAGAACTTAGAATATTCAATGATTAGTTGCATATATCTTAATTCTAATCCATAGATTTTCATTTTATCAAGTTAAAAAGACAACCTTTTACCACCTCCAAGAAAGTATACAGTGAGCCATCTTGTCTAAGAACTCCTGCAGTTCTGCGCTATGATAAAAATTGACCTGAAATACTATGTCTTTTACTCACTCTAAAGAGATCTGTGTCACATATTTAAATGCACTTCTCTAACTTTCATTATTCTCTCTCTCTTTGTTTTTTTTTTTTTGGTGGGGGTACTGGGCAGCAGAACCACTGAGCTAAAGCCCCAGCCCTTCACTATTCTTTTTTAAGAGCTCTCTTCATGTACTTTTTTTTTATTTTTTGAGACAGGGTCTCTGGTCTCACTGTATAGTTCACGCTGATCTTGAACTAATTATGTAGTCCAGGCCAGCCTCGAACTCATGGCAATCCTTCTGCCTCAGCCTGAGTGCTGGGATTACAGGCATGCACCACCACGCCCAGCTTTATGCACTTTTTTTTTTTTTTTTTTTTTTTTTTTACCGGGGATTGAACTCGGGTCCTTGCAGGTCCTTGTGCTTGCAAGGCAGGCCACCAAACCACTGAGCTAAATCCCCGGCCCATTTTATGCACTTTTTTTATGACACTATAAACTTGCCCAAATTTCATCCTTTTGTGTAATCTTAAAAATTGTGTTTTTATAATTTTACACCCAGGCAGCAGGCCTTGGATGAGATTAATGCAAGATGCCACAAGGTGACAATACCAAGAGATGTGCAGAGAATTGCAATGGTATGGGAGGAATGAGTTGTCATTCCAAAGTGTAGGACATTTCATGATATCATCAAGGGTGTGACCAAACTTCAAGAGTGAAGGGTCAGGTTATTACTGTAGTTTATACAATCACAATGAGAAGGCTAGAACTTGACATCTTTAAGAGATGAGCAAATTCTATTATCACCAGTGGTGGGGCACAACAGGAGATGGGTTGGGTCCGTATCTGGGAAGTCAGGAATCAGTGATATCATTAGGGAATGGAATAGTCATTCCTTCCTTCAAGTATGGTGATGTCAAAAAATGTAAAAGTTCAAGACAAGATTACACCACTGCCCAGGGGTAGATGTGTTTTGTTGACCTACACACAAGGTTTTGCTTTCTTTTCCCCAATTAGTCACCATATTTGGAATCTCCATGGTAAAAATCAGAATTTCTGGCTTCTCTTGAAAATGTTGGCATTCTGACAACCCGTGGCCTACATTCCTACATGGCAGCAGCTGGCCAAAGCAAAGTAATTTCCTTCTTTAGGCAAGGTCAGTATTCATCATTTACCACCATTCTCACTTAGCCATCAGATTATCCACGGAGCACTTCTAGGCATTTATGTTTGTGACACTGGTTTAGGGAAATGAATATAACACAGAGGTGAGTCAATGTTGAGAAATATGTTGTAGGAGGGGAAGGTAATCTATGACAAAAGAAGTTACGCAGACCTTGGATAATTCATTGTGATGATTAGAAGTAATAGGATATGTATGTGTAGCCTACAATTTTAACCCCAAGTTTTTGTTTGTTTGTTTGTTTCTTTTTGTTTTGTAGTAAAGATTGAGCCCAGGGTCTTGTTCATGCTAAGCAAGTGCTCTACCTGTGAGCTATACCCTCAGGCCAACCCCAAGAATGTTCCAGTCCTGCCTGTCTGACCTCTGAGAGCATTTTGTCTCCCTTATGTTGAAGGGATTTAGAATATTTGACCCTAAGATATGCAGCTCTGGCCTATTGACCATTTTGAAGTAAAGCTACTTGAAACAGTAGGTGCAAGAATATCACTCTGATCTTCATTCTGTTTCTTAAAAGCAGAAAGTGAAATCTGCATGTGAAAGATATCCTTCCTGCAAAGCAATCTTGTTACCAGGCAGGACAGAAAGAATATTCTGTACATTGTTAAACTGACCCTTTCTTCCTAGTCACTCCTCTACCCAATGAATCACCCTAGCCCAAGCCCCTTTGCCTTATCATATTTTCAGTTTACTACTCTGTCTGATTCAAGTAGATAAGTGATTATCTCTAACTACTCCTTTGGATCTTAATTCCTGTGTAATGGTCCCCATGCCATGTAAACTTGCCCACACAATCTTATATTAAATAAATTTGTATGCTTTTCTCCTGTTAATTTGTCTTTTGTCAATTTAATTCTCAGGCCCATCCACAGCCCTGAGAAGATGGAGATGGAGTTTTGTGCCCCTATAATGTATTAAAGTCATTGCATTAATCAAGGAATTTTACTTTATCTATGGAATTTGTTATCAAATATCCTTGGGTCAGCTTTAAAACAAATCGTATTACCACCAAGTGGTATAAACATGGCGTCTCCAAAGGCTCCATAAACATCACTATGTAACCATTTTTGAAGCATCCCATTCTCCTATTTCCCTTATGTCACAGTTCAGACTGCTTTTTTCTTAGAATTTCCTATTTCACTAAATTCCTAGTTATCCTTCAAAGAGCAGTGGACAAGTCACTCCACCTAACCGTACTCTCTTAGCATTAAGAAATGACTCTTCCATTAGGCGCCCCCATAGACTTTTGAAAATACCTAAGAATTTATCATACTAGTTTGTGTGTGTGTGGTACCGGGGATCGAACTCGGGTCCTTGCGCTTGCAAGGCAGGCCACCGAACCACTGAGCTAAATCCCCGGTCCCGTCCTACTATATTTTTTAAAATTGTCTATCTCCTTTGGTCGAATTAAAGATTGTGAGTTACTTAATGGCAGTATTTTTTACCTCTATGTTCTGGAAATCTAAATACTTGTAATATTTGTTCAATAAGTTGTCATAAGTAGGTGCAGAGATGACTAAGTCAAAGAGTTATGGGGTAGGACCATGATGGGACATGCTATTGTGTAATAAAAATTTGCCATGAGGGGATGAAGCAGAATATGACATCATAAAAAAATCTGTGAGAGGTAATTTGATGATGCTTGTCACTAGAAGTGTTGACTACAGTTAAGCCACGAATGTGGTGTCAGCTTCTAGGGAATGCTCCCATGTCCAGATATGCCTAAGCATCTTCAGCAGTACCTGGCACACGTGACAGACCATCCTTGACAAGTAAATTCATGTGAGTGAGCCTAGGAGTGAGCTAGCATACTCTGGACTAAGGGGCACACTTAACCATGCTATAGCTCTGTTCTTGGATTAGTCTGAAGTTATTTAATTCTATGTCACAATTATGTTCTATGTTAGGCCCATCTCTTAGTTGAGGTCAAACATCAGTGAATGAATCAATACAACTCTAGGTACCACATTATATTGAAAAGAGTACTGGCTGCAATTCTGGCAGGATTACAAACTGGTTTCTGAACTGAACTGATAAGGTTTGGACTGGTCTTAACATGTCTCATTGTAAATATGTGTTTTAGTTTGGGTTATGGATTGATTAGCATTTGGCTTGGCTTTGGAATCAGCTCTTAGCTGAAATCATGAACTAAGTCAAACCACAGAGCATGACCAAAATTCAAGGATAAAAGAACTAAGCCAATTAACTTTTGAACATAGTATTTTGACATGTATATGCTTGAACTATAAAAGCATTATAAACATATTAAATTCTAGTTAGTTGTTGGTTTGTTTATTTTTTGCTGTGGAACAAGTTACTAATTCTGAAACCACTTTTTATGTATTTTAAAACTGAGAAAATATATACATGGGAATCATTCCCAGAGTCTTCATTATCAGAAGAGGAAAGATACGAAGAGGAAGAAGGTAGAATGAGCACTGTGGTATTGGATTGGAATTGCAGGAATCAATATGAAGTAATGCTTTTAAATAAATGGCTAGATGGCTTGTTTTCTGGGTCCTCTGAAAAGAAATATCAAGATAATCTCAAGGGGATTTATTTAGGGAAATATCTATGAGAGGCAAAATGTAAGGGTCCATAAAAGACTAGATATACTTATCAGATTGCAGTGCAAATCTAACCCCATGTGAAGGACAGAAGGAAGAAAGGAAAATTGGATGGAGGGCTTAGACTGGCCTACAGGCCTGAGGAAAGTTTTCCAGGCCATCAAGTAGTCCTTCCACTGAGTCTTCATAAGAGAAGATGCCAGCCTGGGGCTTATCTTAGCATCTTTGCTGTGCTGCCAAGAGAACCCTGTGCGAAGCATGGCCCTTGTACAAACCCAAGGATGACTCTCCAAGCACAGTAGCAAGTCCAAAATTCTGTAAGCACCAGATTGGAATTACAAAGATCTGAGGGAGTCCATCAGCCCCACACCCTTAGATCTTTAATGATGGCATTAATCACTATCTCCTGGGATAATATTTTTTATACTAATGGTAAAACATATTAAGTACAGCATGGGTATTATAAGAATTCTCCAAGGACTTTCCATAAAGCATTTAATTTCTGAAATGCTTAATATTAGTTTAATATTCTATCAGCCATATTTATACACATAGGTAAAATTGTATATGTGTGAGTATATGCAAAAGAAATTTTTAAAAACTGATTTGAAGAAGACATAACAAAATGTTAACTTTTTTCCTAAACATTTGTTACACTTTTTAAAACTATTCTAAACTTTTTTTTCTCAAATAAAATTATAAAGAAAAAGATCAGCACTAGCTTTTGGATAAATGGGTGTGAATTTTTTCAATTGGTTTGTAGCTCTGTCTTATATTCCTCTCTTATGTGCCTCAAGAATGTTATTAAAAGATAAACTTAGGCACATTAAAATTTTAAACAGTTAGCAAGGTCTTGTGGTGCATGCCTGTAATTCTACCACTGTTGGAGGCTGAGACAGGAGGATTGCAAGCTCCAGCCCAACCTGGATGACTTAATGACTTAATGAAACCCTGCCTGGATATAAAAAAATAAATAAATATAAAGGGCTGGATATTTAACTCAGTGGCACTGTGCCTGGCTTGTAAGTGCAAGGTCCCAAGTTTGATCCCAGGTACCACACACACACACACACACACACACACATCCACACATCAAATAAATAACTGAAAAAGTCCAAGAATATAGCTCAGTGTGAAATCCCCAGAATTGGGCGTGGTGGTGGGGAGGCAGCTTCTTTGAATAGACAGCAATTCATGAATGTGGCAACACCAAACCAGAGATAGTTTGAATTAATGAGGATGAGGGGAAACCTCTTATAAGGTCTTTATGGAAGCAATATAACCTTGAGGAATATGCTAGACAAAACTTAGTTTTCCACTGAAGACACCAGCGATCTTTTGGTCAATTTATTTTTTACCTTTTTTCTCCTATATATCACACATGATTGCCCCTTTAGAATTATATCACACTGACTCAACAGAAAACATTCATTTCTTGGCATGCTTGATTTGGTTTCATTCTTATGCCTATATGCGTTGCTTGTGATATGTCAGTAGTTATTTTATCCCTGGAATTAGAAACTGAAGTAACTTCACAAAATCTGTGCACCAGAACAAACTCTTTCTGAAAGAAAGTTTCTAATAGTCCCTTCCCAGTCTCAGCAGCCACCTTCCACTGCAGTAGAATCTTGGACTTGCTAAGTTTGCTCAGTCTTCTTTTTTTTCCCCCCTCTAAACCTGTCCATTTGTCTGAGATCTACTCGTTGTCATATCATTTCATATTCTTTACATTTGTCTGGGCTAAATTCAAAATTAGACCTTCACAGGTAGTCTTCCTTGGTTGGCCTCTCTAAAGCTCTCCTCTGTATTCCTCTTGGTAACCTCTAGCTTTATCATATCTCCCTTGTGCCGTCCTTATCTTTCTTGATCTCTTGGCAGCATTTCATACTGCTGGGCACCCTCCTCTTGGCGCTGTGTTCTCCCTTCCCTGATAGAATATTCTGAACTTCTTCCTTTTTCTCTGAACTTTTCTCCTGTTCCCTCCCCCACTTCCTGTCATCAAAACATAGGGAGTCTCCAGTAATCTTCTTGGGGTGAGCAGAAATATATTTATCTGCAATGTATGAAAGAGGTTCTGGATTCTATCACCAGCATCACAAAAATAAATAAAAAACATTTTCCAAATAAGCAGGACTTTTTAAGATAGTATTAAAGTTCTAAATTCAATATCTTCAAATCTATATTGAGAACCTATCTTCTTGGGGACAATAAATCTTATGTACCTAATAAGACTATCCCTCTTTAAAATATTTTGTATGACTTGCTTAAAGAAGTTAATACAGATTACCTATACTTTGATAGTATAAGCATTCAGTTGTCAGGCATGGTGGTACACACATATAATCCCAGCACTCTGAGAGGCTGAGGCAGGAAGATCGCAAGTTCGAACCCAGCCTAGGCAATT